TTCGCTACGAACTGCAGGAGTCCAGGGCTGCGGGGCCTTTCCGGGTGGGTGTGTACAGCGGGGAGATCAGCACCACGCGGGCCTTGGAGGAAGCGGACGGCCCCAGCCAGAGACTCGTGATCCTCGTGAAGGACCACGGGGAGCCGGCGCTGTCAGCGACAGCCACTGTCAGCCTGTCCCTGATGGAGAGTCCCCAGGCTGTGAAATGGGATTCGAAGCAAAGGGGCGGGAGCGAAGGGCCCTTGGTTGACATAAACGTGTCTTTAATGATCGCCATTTGCTCGGTGTCCGGGCTGTTTGTGCTGGTGATTGTCGTGTACGTTGGCCTGAGATGCCACCCGAGTCCGGAAGTGATGTGCGGGCCTGGGAAAGCCACCGTGGTGTGCTCGAGCGAAGTGGGGAGTTGGTCCTATTCCCAGCGCCAGAGCCGGAACTTGTGTGTAGGGGAAGGTACCGCCAAGAATGATCTCATGGTTTTCAGCCCCAACTTCCCTAACTCTTTGGAAAATGGGGAGGAGAAACAGCAGGAGCTCATCGCGAATGATGCAGGACAGGTAAGTCTCTGGATGGAATGTTATGAGTAGTCTCTCAGAGAGGACAGTGATAGTATCTCGTCTGCTTTTTGTATAAATGGTTATTTGAGATGGCTTTTAAAATAAAGATATTTGAAAGTAATCGATGTTTTTTTAAGGACATATCTAACGGTTTCACACGGAATGAATGATGCTTAATAGTGATTTCTGTATTTTTGATTAATGATTTGAAGCTTTGGTGAAATTTAAGGGGAGGGTTCAGTCCTGAGGCCTGGATAGATTGTTTTTCATAATGTAAATTAATATTTTAAAGATATTTTATCTTTTTAATGATACCCTTTAATTTTAATCAGTAAGTAACCCCGGGAGTGTTTTTAGTTAAAGTCTGCAGGAAAATCACACTTTTTATTTGGCACTGATTTCGAGCTGACATAGATTTCAGCCTCTGTGTGGTTTGATTCTTAATAACTGAAAGCGTGCAACAGCTGCATATATTTAAATTTCTGAAAAATTAGCTCTGATTGTGAGTTGTTAGATCTGCTAGATTTTATTTATTTATTATTTTGAACAGACTGTCACTTTCAAGGAGTGTTCCAGTTCGATTTTATTAATCTGAAAATAGATGCTTGATTTCCTTTTCCATCCCTTAATGAAAGCATGGTTGTTTTTCCTTCAGTCCCTGACTTAATTTTAGTCTTAGTTAAAACGAAGAATTGGAGACACTGTAGCTCAGAAGGAAGATGAAGGCTCCTGTTAGGAATACAAACATTCAAATTTTTTCAGTGTCCTACAGTCAATTGGAGGAACAATAAATGTTGCCATCTCCTATTTTCCCAATTTTGTAGCAAAATTCTCACAATGAGACAAGTATTCCTGTCAGTGATGAGAGTTTGGAATCAATGGTGGACGGTGTTTCTTTTCTCAACACTGAGGTAAAGGCAACTGTATAATATTGTATGGTGAAAAGTAGTTTTAAGTGTTAGGCCAAAGCATTGAATTTCAACTGTCCTCCTGAATGCAATTGCTAAATATATATTCATTGGAGATGGTAGGATCTGGTAAATGGACATTAGGAACTTCTAAAAGTTTATGGGTTTAGATTTCAGAAATTTCAGCTACTGATGTAGTGGGAAGAAGTAATTGTGAAGAGAAAGAGAGGACCTTATCTTGATTACACTTGTGTAAATCCAATGTAATTAGGCATTCCAATGGCCCCATCCTCTATCTATAAGAAACAATGAACTCCTATTGGCTTTATTAGGAATAACTCATATCCTGGGAAGTACAGTTTGTAATTATTGATTCATAAATATAATATTATGATTATTTTTCACCTTATTTTTTTGAAGCATAGGAACTGCCTTACACCAATGACTGTCACTGTAGCATACTAGTAGATGTCTTGAAGAAAGTGTAAAATTCCAATGATAAACACTAGCATGCCTGTTGGAAGCTTCTTCTTAATCCAGGACAGTTGTTGGTTGCTTATGTCTTGAAGGAGGAGGGTTATATACTTAATGCCTTTTTATTATGTATAGTGCAAGAGAAGATATTTCAGAAATGCCGAGTCATAGAATCATAGAATATCAGGGTTGGAAGGGACCTCAGGAGGTCATCTAGTCCAACCCCCTGCTCAAACCAGGACCAGTTCCCAACTAAATCATCCCAGCCAGGGCTTTGTCAAGCCTGACCTTAAAAACCTCTAAGAAAGGAGATTCCACCACTTCCCTAGGTAACCCATTCCAGTGCTTCACCACCCTCCTAGTGAAAAAGTTTTTCCTAATATCCAACCTAAACCTCCCCCACTGCAACTTGAGACCATTACTCCTTGTTCTGTCATCAGGTATCACTGAGAACAGTCTAGATCCATCCTCTTTGGAACCCCCTTTCAGGTAGTTGAAAGCAGCTATCAAATCCCGCCTCATTATTCTCTTCTGCAGACTAAACAATCCCAGTTCCCTCAGCCTCTCTTCATAAGTCATGTGCTCCAGCCCCCTAATCATTTTTGTTGCCTTTTGCCGGACTCTTTCCAATTTTTCCACATCCTTCTTGTAGTGTGGGGCCCAAAACTGGACACAGTACTCCAGATGAGGCCTCACCAATGTCGAATAGAGGTGAATGATCACGTCCCTTGATCTGCTGGCAATGCCCCTACTTATACAGCTCAAAATGCCATTAGCCTTCTTGGCAACAAGGGCACACTGTTGATTCATATCCAGCTTCTCGTCCACTGTAATCCCTAGGTCCTTTTCTGCAGAACTGCTTCCTAGCCATTCGGTCCCCAGTCTGTAAGAGTGAATGGGATTCTTCCATCCTAAGTGCAGGACTCTGCACTTGTCCTTGTTGAACCTCATCATATTTCTTTTGGCCCAATCCTCTAATTTGTCTAGGTCCCTCTGTATCCTATCCCTACCCTCCAGTGTATCTACCACTCCTCCCAGTTTAGTGTCATCTGCAAACTTGCTGAGAGTGCAGTCCATGCCATCCTCCAGATCATTAATGAAGATATTGAACAAAACCGGCCCCAGGACCGACCCTTGGGGCACTCCGCTTGAAACCGGCTGCCAATTAGACATGGAGGCATTGATCACTACCCGTTGAGCCCGATGATCTAGCCAGCTTTCTATCCACCTTACAGTCCATTCATCCAGCCCATACTTCTTTAACTTGGCAGCAAGAATACTGTGGGAGACCGTATCAAAAGCTTTGCTGAAGTCAAGGAATAACACATCCACTGCTTTCCCCTCATCCACAGACCCTGTTATCTCCTCATAGAAGGCAGTTAGGTTAGTCAGGCATGACTTGCCCTTGGTGAATCCATGCTGACTGTTCCTGATCACTTTCCTCTCCTCTAAGTGCTTCAGAATTGATTCCTTGAGGACCTGCTCCATGATTTTTCCAGGGGCTGAGGTGAGGCTGACTGGCCTGTAGTTCCCCGGATCCTCCTTCTTCCCTTTTTAAAAGATGGGCACTACATTAGCTTTTTTCCAGTCATCCGGGACCTCCCCCGATCGCCATGAGTTTTCAAAGATAATTACCAATGGCTCTGCAATCACATCCGCCAATTCCTTTAGCACTCTTGGATGCAGCGCATCCGGCCCCATGGACTTGCGCTTGTCCAGTTTTTCTAAGTAGTCCCGAACCACTTCTTTCTGCACAGAGGGTTGGTCACCTCCTCCCCATGCTGTGCTGCCCAGTGCAGCAGTTTGGGAGCTGACCTTATTTGTGAAGACAGAGGCAAAAAAAGCGTTGAGTACAGTAGCTTTTTCCACATCCTCTCTCACTAGATTGCCTCCCTCATTCAGTGAGGAGCCCACACTTTCCTTGACTTTCTTCTTGTTGCTAACATACCTGAAGTAACCCTTCTTGTTACTCTTAACATCTCTTGCTAGCTGCAACTCCAAGTGTGATTTGGCCTTCCTGATTTCACTCCTGCATCCCTGAGCAATATTTGTATACTCCTCCCTGGTCATTTGTCCAATCTTGCACTTCTTGTAAGCTTATTTTTTGCGTTTAAGATCAGCAAGGATTTCACTGTTAAGCCAAGCTGGTCACCTGCCATATTTACTATTCTTTCTACATATCGGGATGTTTTTTTCCTGCAACCTCAATAAGGATTCTTAAAAATACAGCCAGCTTTCCTGGACTCCTTTCCCCCTCATGTTATTCTCCCAGGGGATCCTGCCCATCAGTTCCCTGAGGGAGTCAAAGTCTGCTTTTCTGAAGTCCAGGGTCCGTATTCTGCTGCTCTCCTTTCTTCCTTGTGTCAGGATCCTGAACTTGACCATCTCATGGTCACTGCCGCCCAGGTTCCCATCCACTTTTGCTTCCCCTACTAATTCTTCCCGGTTTGTGAGCAGCAGGTCTAGAAGAGCTCTGTCCCTAGTTGGTTCCTCCAGCACTTGCACCAGGAAATTGTCCCCTACACTTTCCAAAAACTTCCTGAATTGTCTGTGCACCGCTGTATTGCTCTCCCAGCAGATATCAGGGTGATTGAAGTCTCCCATGAGAACCAGGGCCTGCGATCTAGTAACTTCTGCTAGTTGCCGGAAGAAAGCCTCATCCACCTCATCCCCCTGGTCTGGTGGTCTATAGCAGATTCCCACCATGACATCACCCTGGTTGCTCACACTTATAAACTTAATCCAGAGACTCTCAGGTTTTTCTGCAGTTTCATACCGGAGCTCTGAGCAGTCATACTCCTCTCTTACATAAAATGCAACTCCCCCACCTTTTCTGCCCTGCCTGTCCTTCCTGAACAGTTTGTATCCATCCATGACAGTACTCCAGTCATGTGAGTTATCCCACCAAGTCTCTGTTCTTCCAATCACATCATAGTTCCTTGACTGTACCAGGAGTCCTGGTGATGAAGATAACAATAATGGTTATTTGTAGCATAATCATATAAATGTAGGGCTGAAACTGGAAGGACCTCCAGAAGTCATCAAGTCCAGGCCCCTGTGCTATGGTGAGCCAAGTGAACACATCCCTAACTTGTTTTTTAAAACTTCCAATTATGGGGATTTCACAACCTCCCTTGGAAGCCTGTTCCAGAGCTTAACTACTCTTATAGTTAGAAAGTTTTTCCTAATATGTAACCTGCTTCTTCCTCCCTATGCATTAGGCCAGTAAATCCTCAAAGAAGCAATTAGATTGGTTTGGCATGATTTGTTCTTTACAAATCCATGCAGGCCATTCCTTACAACCCTATTATCCTCCAGGTGCTTACAAATTCACTGTTTAATAATAATAATAATAACTGTATTGAAGTTAGGCTGACTCTTCTAAAATTCGCTGGTCCTCTTTGTTCCCCCTTTTAAAGATAGGTACTGTGTTTGCCCTCCTTCAGTCTTCTGGGAACTTCAGCTAGTTCCTTAAGTACCCTAGGATGAATTTCATCAGGCCCTGCCGACTTGAATTATCTAAGGTATCTAAATATTCTTTAACCTGTACTTTCCCCTATTTTGGCTTTCATTTCTTAAATTATTTTTTTGCTGGTCAGTCTAATTTTAAACACTGAAATTTTAGGGATTGATTTTTGAACATGAGTCATTGATATCATACTTGCCACCCAAGAAGGAGATAGCAAGTAAGTGGAGGTTTCATTTTAACTATAGAGTCCATGGATTACAGGAATGATCACCTTTTTTTCTACTTGATAGTAAACAAGAAGTAAAATCGGATTATAGGAATGGATAGATATTAATCTGAATGTTCTCTTTCCCTTTTATTTTATCTTAGGTTATTCAGCCGGTTTCCCCATCACTATAACATTTAGATTATTTACAAAATACGCAGTAATTAGTGAGAACCAGAATAATGTTTCAGTGTAAGCGGAACAATCCGATATTGAAGGAAACAAAATAAATATCTTCAGTGCAGATGCATCTACCAGAGAATCTATGTCATTTAAATTGCATTGTTTATTTCGCTGCAATGGTCTAGGAAAGCTCCATATAGAAATTCTGTTTTACAGAAAGGCTAATAAGAAATTAGCTCTAAATTAAACAGTGGGGTTGTAAATACATTGCAACAGAGCAGTCACAACTTCTAAGAGGAACTTGACTGAGAGCACCCAAGCTACTAATGGAAGGAACACGCCTAGTTCTAGACTAATGCTCGTTTCTGGGTTTTATCCACAACAGAAAATAGTAGCTGGGTTAAGCAGTGATTTACTTTTAGAATATGTACTAACTCAAAGCTAAACCAGCGAATAATGACTTTCTACTCCTACCCCCCAGAATGGAGTCTTCTATACATGACAGCTTCTTCGACATAGTAGAATTCCTTGCATACTACGGAAGATACTTCCCCTCTCATCTTGACACGCACAATCAGCTGTCATTAAGCAACAGTTTGTGCAAACCCTTACCAAAGCGTAACGTATTCATGACATCCCCACACCAGCAATATTTGAGAGAAAAGATCATTTTTAATGGTCGTGGGAATAGGAAAATAACCAAAACAAGCGACTGAATGAGGATTTTCTCATAGTTACCTCCTCAGAAGCTGTGTCCTGCACAGGGGCGCGGATACAGTAGTAGTACTGAGGAAGTGGAAATCAGATCAGATCTCCAACTGCTAGAGAAACTGGGATTCCCACAGCTAAGGACCCCCCTGGTCCTCTGAACGGAGGGAGCAATTCCCAAAGAATAAAAGGGATGAGGGAAAGCGGTTCTTGTGAAGAAAAGAGTTGTGTGTGTCAGAAAATGGCCAGAGGGACTTGGAAGGGATTCTCATTGGAGCCTCTACTGCTTTTAAGAGCCACGAAGAAGCATTGCAGGGAATAGTTAACTGTTAAAGTAACCACTGGTACTTTCTGATTTGGGGACGCGGAGAGAAAGAGATTCCAATCTTTCCAGACTCTAGGACTAGGACATAAACAGGAAGGAATTAAGACTTTTTTTAAAAAAAGAAAACGGTTTCCTGTTTCCACACTACCAGTTATTCAGAGAGAGAGAAAAAACTAAATTAAACAATTTTAAGACTTCATTCCATTAGCATATGTTTGGAAATGGTTAAAAAAAGTTAATTAAGTTAATGGCGGCAGAACTTTGGAGGCTGAATTCAGGTAATATATTTACATAGGTACACACAAGCCACGGATATTATGGTGATATATATGCGATAAAATGTAGAACTATGTGATAAATAAATTTCTCTGTGACCACTTCAAATGTTTTCTGCGGACTCAGTCACGGCTGTCAAGAGACCATCTCAAATTGTTGATGATAAAAATCCCTATACTACATCACACCATCACATATACATGTGTCATTTATTGAGAGAGATGACTGACTCAATAGAGTTTCAGAATCTAGGTATCCGAATGTGAAAATAACCTCCCTTAATTGTACTATGTGTGGGATGAATGTGTGTGTTTTTTCTGTATAACTAATTTCCAGTTTGCATGCACTTCAATATCTCTTGACGCAATCACTAACAGAAAGTTAGAAATGGAAATGTTGCCTAAACATTTTGCAGAGCAACTTTAAAAAGCACAGAGTAACAGAAAACAGATAAACCATCCAGAGGAGAAAACAGAAGAAAAGCAATATATGAGATATTAAAGCAGGTAACTACAGTTCAAACTACGTCTTCCTCCTCTCCTAAGGCCTGCTGTTCATCTCACATGATTTATGTTATGACTTTTGTTCTTTGTACAACAAAACTAGTAAGAAAAACCACAAGGGCATAGTTAAAGACCAGATAAAAGTGTGTACTAAATACATAAACATGGAACTCCTAACTACATACCATCTCTGGCTGGTTTCTAGCAGTTTCTCAAAATATAGAACACAATAAGCGCCCTTAGAGGGATCACAAACTATTTAAAGGAATAGTATCCTATTCATATAGATTATGACTTGTAACTGAAGAGATATTCTATCATTCAGAGCCACAGTGAAACACTTGACCTTGAAACACTTGACTACGGAGCTCCTTAGTATTGCCTTCTTTAGAGAAACTCTGAGGCCATTTTTCCTGTCCCTTTCGTTGACCCATTGCTAAAAAAAAACCCTCTCTTCTACCTTTACATAAGTTAGATGATTACACATAGTTATGTATTATCTTTACATATATCTAGTGAGCTCACTGTAACTTGATAACGAGAAGATTGTATTTTCTACGTTTTTCTGAAAATTAGAGTTTTATAAGATAGGAAACATATTCCAATAAAAATTGATTAATTTCCTAGATGCATTTATTAAGAAATGGAAACTTCTAAAAAGCATGTCATATGTCCTCAGATTATCACCTAAAATATCAAGTCAGACAATCAATCAATCAACAAATCCCAGCTGTTTCTAGACACCGTTATTTTAAATAGCTATTTAACGTGTCTTCAGATATAAATATTTTACTTGAATATAATTTTCCGTAATATCAGAAAAGATCACCTTATGCAAGAACTGCATTTGAAGACTGAGACACAATTGTAACCAGTGCCCATGGACAGAGAATAAAAATATTAACGAACAACTATGAAAAAAAATAGTGTGGTATTGCATAGTGTGGTACTCCATTTCAGTCACAAGGTGTCGCTGTCTACTTAAAAAGGTATTTCCTTAAATAGAGAAAAACACAACGCCAGCCTGATTTAGAGCAGTGTGAATAAAGCTCAAGAAGATGGCGGAATAATACTGGAGGAAAACCGACTGCATTTAAAGCATTAAATGATAATATTTTGGCACATATTTAAAATAATTTTCTACATTTGCGAGATATAAAGCAGTAACATTTTACAAAGAAGAAGCATCCTACGTCCGCAATGGCTCTACGGCGAGACTCCCTGGTAACCAGGCAGCTGCTGCGGTTGGTTCTGTTACACACGGCCTGGGAGGTGGGCAGCGGCCAGGTCCGTTATTCCGTGCCGGAGGAATCCAAACACGGCACCTTTGTGGGCCGCCTGGCCCAGGACCTGGGGGTCGAGGTGGCGGAGCTGGTGTCTCGGATGTTCCGGATGGTCTCCAACGGCAGGAGAGACTATTTCGAGGTAAATTTGCAGAACGGCGTTTTGTTTGTTAATTCGCGAATAGACAGGGAAGAGCTGTGCGGCCAGAGCCCCCTGTGCGCCATTGACCTGGAGGTGATAGTGGACAAACCCCTGAGGATATTTCACGTGGAAGTGGAGATACAGGATATAAACGACAATGCTCCTGTTTTTTCGGTAAATGAAGATAATTTCATTATTGCAGAATCCAGACTCTCAGACTCGAGTTTCCCACTAGAGGGCGCATCTGACGCAGATATTGGTACAAACTCTCTGCTAACCTATAAACTCAGCCCAAGTGAACATTTCACTCTAGATGTGCAAAGAAAAAATGATCAAAGTAAATCTTTAGTGCTTGTTTTAAAGAAAGCTCTGGACAGAGAGGAAACCCCTGAGCATCGTTTATTACTCACGGCCACTGATGGGGGCAAACCGGAGCTGACGGGTTCAGTTCAGCTGGTGATCACTGTGCTGGATGCCAATGATAACGCCCCTGTATTTGATAAGACAGTTTATGAGGTGAGTTTATATGAAAATGCTGCCAATGGGACATTAGCTATCAAACTCAACGCCACAGATTTAGATGAGGGAATCAATAAAGACGTTTTCTATTCATTTAATAACCGCATGTCTACCAAAATAAAAGACATTTTTAGCCTAGATATTAACACTGGCGAAATAAGAGTGAAAGGAAATATGGATTTTGAATCTCAGAACATATATGAAATTCAAGTGGAAGCTATTGATAAAGGACACGCACCGTTGGTGGGACACAGCAAAGTTTTGGTGGAAGTGTTAGACGTGAACGATAACATCCCTAAGCTGGCCGTGACTTCCCTTTCTCTGCCGGTTCCGGAGGACGCTGCCCCGGGGACAGTGCTGGCTCTTATTAGCGTCTCTGACCGGGACTCCGGAGTCAACGGCAAAGTCACCTGCTCCATCCCCCCGAACCTGCCCTTTCGGCTCGTCTCCACCTTTAAGAATTATCACTCGCTGGTGCTGGCGGAGGCCGTGGATCGGGAGCGAGTGTCTGAATATAAGATCCTGGTGACAGCCAGAGACGAAGGGGCCCCGTCTCTCTCGGCCAGTAGCAGCATTTTGGTGCCGATCGCGGATGTGAACGATAACGCCCCTGCTTTCCCTCAGCCCGTTTACACGGTGTTTGTGAAGGAAAACAACCCGCCCGGGGCCCATCTTTTCACCGTGTCGGCCTCGGACCCGGACCTGAGGGAAAACGCCTTTGTGAGCTACTCGGTGGTAG